CCTCCCGCGGCCAGGGAGCGTTCCTCAACCTCTCTCTCCGCACTCATAAATGGAAATGAAACTGGAGGGCAACGGACAGGAAAAAAAAAACAAACCCACAACACCCAAGCAACCAATACTGACGCGCTGAGACTTCATTGGAAAGTTTCATAACCGCCTGTGCCCTGCCACGTTACGACACGGCACACAGGCGCTCTCGCTCCCTCCCTCACGCACACGCAGACGCGCACTCCGCTCTCCCGCACGCACGCAGCGCGGCCCCACGGCTCGCCACGCAGGCTGCTTTGGCTGGAAGGGTCACCTAAGCCACCGGACAGAAAGTATTCGCAGGCAACACAGCTGCAGAATGAAGGGTGCTAGTTTGGGTTTCAGTGTTTTGAGGAATTTTCGGTGGTGCGCAGAAGAGCCAGACGCTTTGTCTTTCTCTGCCTTTTTTCCTCTAATATTGAGACACCAGCTGCGCAGCTCGGCCATACTTAGTTTCTACAAAAGCCCCAGGTGTCTCATCTTCAAAGGCACAAACTTTCTCTGACTGCAGCCCGGAACTGAAGGATATGCTGCCACAAGACTCCAGCCCGTGCTTAGCTCGCTGTCCCTCACTCACGGTTCTGTTTTAAATTCAGGAGTGCCTGGCTCATCTGCTGGGAAGCAATGTGACAAAACTGCACTTAGCTTTCTCAGAGAAGAAATTCTTTGCAATAGACTGAGCCAGAGTGTAAGAACCACTCTTCTGTTGCTACAGCACTGGTCTGCAAATAGCCTGGTAAAAGCCAGGAGGGCTCCCTGCAGAGTAACCTTCCGCTCACTGGAAGGGGACTGCAATGTAGAAGAACTCCTCCTTTCTTTTTTTTCCCCGCTTTCCACTTAACTCTTTCCATTTGTGATAACCTAGTGTCCAGATTCAGGCTAACTGCATTTGTTTGCGTCCAAATAACAGGGAAAAGCTTACATTACAGAAGAACTGAATTTCTCACAGTGAGACCTGCCCTACGTGCATCATTTACTGACATATTTTATTAAAAAATCATTCCTCTCACTACTCACCCAAACTCAGCTAAGCTTATTGCATATAAATATTCACTTCCAATATCTATATTTCATACTTCCTCCGTAGAAGGCAGTTGCAGAACTACCTAGGGAAATAAATCCATTTTTACATTGTGCTAGTCTTAGCAGCAGTAGCTTTATCCAACTCCTTGGATTAGCATTATATTGATCGTGCTTCCCACAGAAAAACCCTCAAGTATACAAACGAGCATCGCAGTAGACGGCACACCGCTTCGGAAGGGACCTGCAGCTCCACATCTAACCTACGTACAAAGACATTGCTATCCCTGGTCTCCTCCCGATGCTGAAACCCTTCAAACAAACGAACAACAACCCCCTACACACACAGCAGCAAAAGGAAAACAAACACAACCATCTACGGCTGTGTGCTAGGGAACGAGCTGGCTCCTACAGCATACAAATGAGCCACCACAAACAGGCGCAGCAGAAGGCTGCGCTGCTCGGGTCGGGTCGGATGCAGGGCACTCCATCCCTGCGGATGTCACAGCCCAGGAGAGCAGGGGAGCACCGCTCCGTCCGAGCTGCTGCTGAGGGCTCAGGTAAACACACCCCTGCCCTGCTAAGTGAAATAACTAGTTAGATAAACCTGTAGCGATGTAATTCCATCTGATTTCATTTTCAGCCTAGCTCAGTTGCTTTTCTGCTTCTCTCTTGCTGTGAATTTGGTAGGCCTTGCAAAATGCTGTTATACTGGATTAAACCCTTGGAATTTTTAACTCTTTGATCCCTCTGCAGCACTGGGGACTTTATAAACTGCACCCTGATGATGCCAGTATCTCAGCAGCTACATAGTAATGTTTCATCTACCTTTTATTCCTAAAACCCTCAACTAGCTAATTGACTGAACGCAAGGAGCTGCTGTCTCAAACTCGGATACGCCAGACAATGCTGCACAAAGCAGTACTTTGCTTCCTCATAAAATGCTGAATCCCAAGAGAAGAAAAAAAGAAAAGGACCTCTCTCCATCTGTATGCTGCAATACCACACCTATAGAAGCCAGGCTATTTTTACGCCATCCCATCCATCTCCGTAACCAGTACTAGATTCAGAGTTGACGCATGCACAAAGCACACGGGGAGACGCAGCATTCCCGTCTCCTGAAAAACGTCAGAGTAAGGTAACAGAGGGCAGGCTTTGTCTACACTTCTTCCTTCCTATGATTCCACCTGATCTATGATAAAATAAATGATTTTCAACAAGGGTTACCTCTACCCATAATGGCCAAGTAATACTTCACATTTACATGGTGCTGTGCATCCATGGACATCCTGGACTTCACGGCATTCATTAATTCAGCCCTAAGCAGCTCCTGGGTATGAAGTTAAATGCCACGATCCGTGCTTCAGCGTTAAGAGTGAAGAAGAGAAAGGTGGTGTGACTTGCCCAGGTCACCCCATGAGCAGATGGCAGAGATCCCAGGACCTCCAGCTCCCGTTCCAGCACACTACCGAGGGGACGCTGCAAGGACTGGGTAGCCAGGGACTCGCCAAGGCGATGCAGGAGACAGAGCTTCTCGCCAGGGCTTGCGGTGCAGCCGATGCTCTTGTAAAGAGGGTTGTTGCAATACAGCACTGCTTCAAGATGGAGAGGCTAAGCAGAGCTTGCTCGCTGTTGGTCATGGAGAGGGACAAGAGCCCTGACCAGACTAATTGGGAGGGAGGGAGGGGTTGGCGGGGGCCCTCCCATAGGCTCAGTAATGAGCACTACAAGCTTCTTAAATAGAAAGCTGCACTCGGCACATTCACAGAGCCGAGACTGTGAAGTAGCGTTACGTTAATTCATTTAATCCCAGCATGCCCTACACGGTGCTAATACCACTATTCCGCTCACACAAAACCTGCAGCTCAAAGGTTAAGTGATTTAATCAAAGCTACACAACCCCCTCAGTGTGGAAGGCGCATCCAGCCCCAGCTCCTGCTCCCTCCCGTCCCCCCCAGCACCCCTCCTCACAGCAACAGGCCTGCCTTTACTAGAAACTGGTCCTTTCATCTGTGGGGCCCACATCCTGCAGGTGACTGCATGGTAAGTCCCGGAGACACAGGGGAATTCTGCTCACCTGGACTTACTTGCTATCTTGAGGCCTAAAACAACTTACAGGTACACAAATGTAGGCTGACAGCCCAAGAGGTTTTATTCTGTTATTACGAGACTGCATTAGCATATGGATCCAGGATCTCGCAGCAAACAGAGCTTTTAAAATAATCACCAAGGGTAACTCTGTAGTTACCTCCTGGTATGCCTGCAACGCCTGCAATGCTCTCGCTGGGAGCTGCGGTTTAAAGGCTGCATTGCTGTCCCTAGCAAATGTTAAAAAAATCCAGACAGACGTCCCCAAACATACACTCGGTTTCAAAAGAATGAGATTTGCTAAAAAAAAAAAAAAAATCTTGTATTTTATTTATGTGATGCTACGTTAATTTTTACAGCACAGTTGGATTGTCTTCTTACACGTTTCTTTTTGACTGTGATGAGAGGGGAAGGGAAGCAAAAAATAACACTGATGAACGGCAACATTAAGAAATCCACAATGTATGAAATTCATAATCAAGCTGCCAATGTCGTGACGCTATGGGTCAACACGTCTTTGGCTACACCGTTCTGCTACTGCAGTGACAGGTTAACACTGCAGCAAGATTGGTGCCAGGGGGAGGATATAATCAGCAAGAGAAATTGCTGTCTCAGCTTTATTCACCAGAGCTTTCCCATGTAAAAACCAACTCAATAAATATAAATTTTAATTGGGGGGGGGGAAAAAAAGCCCACTACTTCACTTTATCTCCTCTCCTCTTTTGTAGGAGAGAGCAGAAATCCCTATGGAAATGCTGAACGGTGTATGCTCTGCAAGCGAGGAACAAAGAGGTAAAGTGTATCTATGGCGGAAAGGAGTTAAAAACCTCCCTAGAAAAATGCACTTCAGTTTTTCATAAACCACACCACAAAGCTTAGGGCATGCCTCAACACATACCAAAGCTCAGGAATCAGTCTTCTGAAAAACCACCCTTCTTAAAGGCACAGCACATCCTGCCGCGCCAGCGGAGGAGCGGCAAGGCAGGAGGGAAGGCGCAGACGCGAGTATCAGGAAAAAAAATAAAAGGAGCGGAGGGGGAAATTAAGTTGCAAACCTTATGACTCATCAATTCCTTTGCTACGATATCCACATCAAGCTCCTTTCTTGTCAGGAAACAAGGAATAAAGAGAACAGAGAAAGCATGGAACCAAACAGGCGCTATTTGCACCGTTCCCCCTCCATCCCACTGGCTCTCTGCAACCTCTGGAGATAACGGCACTCTCAAGGACACCTTCTGCCTGTCCCTTACTGAGGCTGGTCACAGGGCAGCCTCTGCTTTATTTCTTCTCTCACCACAGCCAAGCTCTGATTTACAGGAGGGCACCCGGGCTTACTGGACCATCACCCAGCCTCTGAAAGGCCTCCTGTGCACCCCTGTACTTCTGCTCCTGCGACCAACAGTGCCCACATGAGCACAGTTGCCTCCCTTTAGACAGGGCTGAGGTTTCTGCTCCTTCAACTGCATGCAGGACTCGCACATGGGGTTTCTTTGTATTTCATGCCGTGAGAAAGAAGAAATGCTCCACGCAGTATCTCCTTCCTCAGCAAGCAGAAGGTGACCCC